AGGCCCAAGCACAATGACTTCAGTTTTGTCAGAGTTTAGAAGTAAGAAGTTGCAGGTCATCCAGGCCTTTATGTCTTTAAGACATGCTTGAAGTTTGACCAGCTGACCTGATTCATTTGGCTTCATAGATAAATATAACTGAGTATCATCTGCATAGCAATGGAAATTTATGTTGTGCTTCCTGATAATATTGCCTAAAGGGATCATGTATAAAGTGAAGAGAATTGGGCCTAACACAGAGCCCTGTGGAACGCTGTGACTAACGTCAGTTTGTGTGGAACATTTGTCATTGACATGAACAAATTGAAATCTTTCTGATAAATAAGATTTGAACCAACTTCGTGCAGTTCCTTTAATCCCAATAACATGTTCAAGTCTCTGCAGTAAGATGCTGTGATCAGTGGTGTCAAAAGCAGCACTGAGATCTAAGAGGACAAGTATGGAGACAAGTCCTTTGTCCGAGGCTAGGAGCAGATCATTGGTGACTTTCACCAATGCGGTTTCTGTACTATGATGGACTCTAAATCCTGACTGAAAATCCTCAAACAAATCATTCTTGTGCAAGTGGTCACATAACTGCTTTGCAACAGCTTTTTCAAGGATTTTGGAAATAAATGGGAGATTGGATATTGGTCTATAATTAGCTAGGACACCTGGGTCAAGAGTAGGCGTTTTGAGTAGAGGTTTAATTACTGCAAGTTTAAAAGGTTTATTTACAGTTTGAGAGACACCAACTGAGTCTAATAATGAACAAAATGCATTGTTGGGGCTGTCATTGTCGGCATCTACATGAATATTAAAGTCGCCTACTATGATTATTTTATCTGTACTAAGCACTAAATCAGACAGAAAGTCTGAGAATTCACTTAAAAACTCTGAATAAGTAGCAGGTGGACGGTATACAATAACAAACAGAACAGGCTTTTGAGTTTTCCAGTTTGGGTGTGAGAGACTCAGGGTGAGATTTTCAAATGAGTTATAACTATGTTTAGGTCTAGGGTTGACTACTAGGCTTGAGTCAAAGATCGCTGCCACGCCACCACCTCGGCCTGTGTTTTGAGGGATGTGACAGTTACTGTGCCTAGGTGGAGTGGATTCATTTAGGCTGACATATTCTTGCTGCTGTAACCATGTTTCAGTAAGACACAATAAGTCAATGTGATGTTCACTTATCAAATCATTCACTAACAGAGATTTAGATGAGAGAGATCTGATATTTAATAGTCCACATTTGATTGTCCTATTACTTTCTACTATAAGAGGAGTCATCTTAATTTTAATTAGGTTCTTATGAATAACTCCTCTGGAGTTGATTCTTGATTTATATAATTTAGGTGGGCGGGGGGCAGACACAGTCTCTATGGGGTACTGGGAGCGTTGGGTGGGTAGCAGCTGCAAGGAGACAGCAGAGAGGCGTGTAAGACTGCAACCCTGCATCCTGGACTCAACTCTGGGTTGTCATAATTTAGGTTGTAAAACAAACTCGTCCAGATCATGTCTGTAGCAGATTTTATGGAAATCTAGACATTAGCTTAGAAGTTAATATAATTAAGAACCTTAATGTTCAAATCGGAGCCAGGCACCTGCCGCTTACAAACATGAATGTGAATCAACATTAAAAAGATCTGAGTTTGGCGTTTAGGCCTGTAATATAAATGTAGCCTTAGTCACCTGGGGTGGGGAATGTGGTAATGTGAAAATAGCTTAATATGCCAACAGTGACCATACTACAGTAACCTAACTTTTTTTAAGGAAATTGCTGAGTTCATTTTGTGGATAAAATAAAATTTATTGGGATTGTTGAAAATACTACAATGGCCTTATTCTTCAAAGGAAATGCATCCAGGGCTGTCTCCTTCACGTTGAGGAGAATGGTCCTAGGTCCTTTGCTCCTTTGCTGTAAGGCCAATGCTTTATATAGCAACCGCCGTAGTACCATTAATGTCTTTTGTCTCCATCTAGTGGTCGAATCAGATCGATAGGAAACACGATGGTGACAGACATCCTAGTGCATGCTCAAAATCTTTGCCAGCTCATGCAGGAATCGAGGAAAATGAAGTAGTGGACAGGAGCCAAAAGAGCCATCAACAGGAAAAATTGATCTGTAAGTGCTGTATGGATGTGAACCATAGGGAGTTAGTTCAATCAAATTCTGCAAAATATGCGTGGAGGGTAGCACTACGCCTTTTTTGTGTGGTCTGTCGCAAATGTCAAGAAGTTAAAATAATACAACTATGTTGAGGGTACTCTATTGTCCTTTATTTTAGTTGCCATGCTCATTTTCTGTTTTCCCTTACCGTCTTCCTTTATTATATGTTATTTAGTATAATATTGTCCGTATGCTCTCTGACTTTATTCTGCTCTGTTCTGTCTGTTCTCTAAACTAATAAAGCTTTAATTTAGAAGAAGAAAAGCAGGATTCAGGAGTTGCGCATGCGTAATAGGTCTGGTGAAAGGAATTATGGCCGACACGATGTATATGGATGATTTTCCTCCTTTACCTTCGGGACTGGAGGAGGGTATGTCGTATTTCTTGATTAAATGAATGTTTATTTTAATTGCCTTTGTGCAGCCAGTCACAATCGAGGTGAATCTGGCGTGAAATGTAATTATTTCCACAGTTATGTTCTTGCAATCTAACGTTAGCCGCTAGGGCAGAATACACACAGCGAGTTTGCAAAACTGTGCTAAGCTAAGCTAGCTGTTTTCGGCGTCAAGGTCGACCAGTGCATGTGGGCATCCGATGTTGCTGCAGGAGCGTTGTCAGTGGCGACCAGAAGAGACTTTTTTTTTTCAGCAGTCATGCACGTTTTAGACCATAAGCGACATGCACTGCTATAATGTCGGTGTTGGTTAACGTTAGAGAATGCAGCGTGTTCTTTATGAAGAATGATCGGAGTCAAATATCAATTTTCAAGAAGCAAGACGTTACTTCTGAACTTCTGAAAGTGACGGCATTTTCAGAGCTAATCAGACGGATCTAATCAGGTTGAATGAGTAGTGGTAGTGGATGCCACTCCTAGCTCCCATATAACATTGTGCCTATTGCCTATAACGGTTCTCCAGACTTTACCAAAGTGAACATCCATCCATCAATCTATCCATTCATTATCTATACCACACTCACTCCAACCGGGAGCTCAGGGTCGCCAGTCAGCCTAAGCTGCATGTGTTTGGACTGTGGGAGGAAGCTGGAGTCAGAATGAAAATATCTAATGAAGACTACGGTTATAGAAAATGTGGCCTAATCATTCTCACAATAATTATTTTATCCTTATCATATGAACCACGTATGTATTGTTTGGCCTTGTGTACTTATGTGTTACCTTGTAATGATAGCCTGCAGGGTGTTCCAAGCTTGTTAAAGTATGAGAACAAGGCCTATGATCTTGCTATTACTAAGCAGTCATTTTTTATAATCTTAATTACATGATATATGATTCTTTCTGTTTCTGTTATCCTTATGCAAGGGCAGAAAGTCTTTCTTGTTTTTGGTTAATCACAGTGTTCCTGTTGCAGTGACACAGGGTGATGGGACCCAGGATATTAGATGATCTGTCATGTCACTGGGACCCAGAGCAATCTGGTCTTTGTAGCATTGGAGCACTTTTAGAATAACAGGAAGAGCTAATGATTGGTGGTGTGTGCTGTCAACTGAAGCAGTGTGTAAACATGCTACTTTGTGCCTGTTTTGGAAACACTGCTTGGTCCGGGAATATCGTTGTGGCCAAACCAAAAAGGTCTTAGTCAAACATGATTGGTTGTAAAGAGAATTTGGAAATCTATGAAGGATGCAAGTTTTCTTTGTTTGCCCATTATTTCCGTAGAATTACCCTGAGTTTAATTCTTATTTGAAGTCATTTAGCTGAAGTGAGGATTTGTTTTTTCCTTTAGTTGCTGATTTTCAGCTATGACAGCTAATTACATAATTACTATTCAACACTTTGTGTGTGAAGTTGTGTAGATGGACACCACTTGTCAAGGAAAGATGTAAACAGATGTCTTTACAGATGTATTGTGTGATAAAGGAAAAGAGTATCAAAGTTGTTGAGCAGTATTGTTGTTTGAATTGATTTCACAGATAGTTGTTTTATGTTGTGTTAATTACATTTTCCCAGAAGATGTAACCTGATTTGAAATCTCCTGTTTTTATCCCCTTCTCCCCCTGCAGTAAATAAGATGATAAAGGAGAATGGTGACCTGTTTTATGACACCCTGTGTACAGTCTGCAATGCTGTCCTAATTTCGGAATCTCAGAAGTTGACTCATTATCAGGTCAGTGAGCTGTTACTGTTTCTGTGTCAGGGGACATTACTCCTGGGGGGTAACAGTGGTGCGGTGGGTAGAGCAGCCCTCTCCCAACCGGAAGGTTGAAGGTTTGAATCTTGGTGCCTGCAGTCTACATGTCAAAGTGTCCTTGGGCAAGACACTGAAACCCCCCCCCCAAGTTGCCTGTGATGGCGGGGCATATGCACATAGCGGCCTTGGGCCCTTGGCTCCAAAAGAAATTTCGTTGTACGTGCCACAAAGTTACAATGACAATAAAATAAAGCTTCTTCTTCGTCTCTTTGATGGTTCTGCTGTGCTCAGAGATATAGGGAAAGCTGCATAGTTACTAGCTAGAGGTTATGTGTATGTGTGGTGTGTATGGTAGTGTTTTGAACTGTACTGCATGTTTCTGTTATTTTGTCCAGTCCCTTTATATAAATTAAGCTAGGCTAAATAACAGAAACACCTCAAATATATGTCATTTAACTAATCGTTTTACCAGGAGTGTGCATGAAATTGTGCAGCCATAATGAAGATGTGTTTTCTTGTTCAGGACAGAATACAGAAGTTATTGTCCACCGGCCAGAGTCATTCTAAAGTGATATACCGGTTGTGAAAAATGCAGAAGCCGCTTCGTAAAAGTGTATTTAATGCAGTAGTTTGAGATGATGAAGTTTGTAGTTCACTTTGTGCTAAACATTTGTGCTTGTCTTTCCAGAGCATGAAACATGCTAACAAAGTGTGGCGCTATCGTTCTGGAATAAAGGACAGGGAGCCACCAGTGAAAAGGTTGAAGTCGTCATCAGATGACAGTATAAAGGTGGGTTTCCACCAGAAAGTCTCTAGTTGCTTTTATTCAAACGAAAGCCCAAGAACTGTGCCTGGGGTAAATGTCCCTCAGGTGTGTTGTGATTTGGAACTAAATTCCAAAAAAGGCTCCTGCTATCCAGGGAAAGGTCCTCAGGTGGAAATGGGCCTAAAGAAAAAAGCAGTCTGTATTACCAGTTAATATAGGCTCAGACATCTTAAATCACCAGCCTGTGGATTAGGAATACCATCTTTGAAAAAAATAAACTCATTCATTCAGGTTCTCCCTATATAGCCCATCCTAAAAGACAGTGTGTCTGTGGTCACAGCTCTGCAGCCATAATGATGCCTGATTTCATTACCATTGGTCCATGATTTTGATGGACATACCAAAGCTCTTATTCCCACTCTGAGAACTGATGATCAAGGAGGCTGCTGAAGAAGCCACAGATGAGAATATACAAGCGCGTCCTTCACAGAAGTCTTTTATGGACCGACACTCCCCTTTATTCCAATAAAGGTGATCGGTGATGTTTGGACGCTTCAGAAGGATCAGAGGAAGGGGCATCTTATGTCTCTATAAACATGTTTCCTTGATTCCTCTCTCCTCACATTTTTCTTTGCATCTTTTCCTTACATCTTATGTGGGCAGGACTAAGACACACGAAAAACACAGGTAAGGGAAACATGGATGCCATTAAGGGCACTGGATGTGCAACTCTACGCAGTCTGGTACCTATATAAAAATGGGGGTGGGGGATAAATCAAACATGAATTCAAATAGATAAATAAATTAGAGAAAAATAAATAAACAGGCTACAGTGATTATGTACAGTTATCCTTTCTGTATGGGACAAATGATGCCATAAATGATTAATCTTCCTGTGTGTGTCTTTTGTCAACAGGACTGTAACAGTGGAGATGCAGACCGGTCAAAGGTGTGTGATACATGTAATATGACCTTCTCCTCTCCTGTGGTGGCTGAGTCTCACTACAAAGGCAAAGTCCATGCCAAGAACCTGAAGCTGAAGAGCTTTCGTCCCCTAAGTATGTAGGATTGTACTCAGAACCCCCAAATTTTTACCTGCCGTTGTCCTCTTCACATAGTGTCTATTGCCTTTATCTTATTTCCTGTATCAGTGTGTTATTTACATGTTTTTTGCGTATGTCTTGATTTTTGTCCCTCATGTCTCGTGAAGCACTTGTTGTTTTTTGAAGATACTATACAAATAGTTTTTATTGTGTCTCTTCATCAACAATAGTCTGTAAAACGGCACCACCAGTTCAGCCGAAGAAGAAACCTGCAGAAGATTTGAGTGGCGACAACGAATCGAGCCGATTCTGCTCCATGTGCCAGGCAACCTTTAACAACCCGGTCATGGCTCAGCAGCACTACATAGGCAGGAGGCATAGACGACAGATGAGCAAACTCAAACTGATGGAGATGTACGGCCCCTTCACAGCACAAGGTCAGGCCACAAAATCACCAGCTCATGTACCTTTATGTGAAGAACAGATGTTTTATTCACCCAACTCACAGAAAGTATCACTTCTGTCAAGATAAATAATACTGCAATAATTCAATAATTCTATTTTTTTCTTTTTTTAATATGGATATATTCAGCATTAGGGACTTTGAGGATAATGAAAGCAGTGGTGCTGTGAGACTTGACTGACATTTAAAATGAGTGATGACAGAAGGTTAGTTACAAAGAGTTGTCATATTCAAGTGCAGCTATAAAATATCTAAACAACAACCTGAAAATGTGTATTTAAGATACTGCAAAATATGAAAAATATGTGGGGGGTGGGGGTTCTATTGGAAGTTATGTGGCTCATGAAATATTCCCAGTGGATGTTAGGTGGAAACCACGACAGAGCCGCAATTGAACATGAAGCAGCCAGATCCTGTGGACTTAAAGGACAATTAATTTCCTCGTTTGTGGGTCTACAGCTTCTGCACTAAAGCGATACCCGTGCACCACCTGCAGCATTGAACTAAACTCTGTGTCACAATACCGGGCTCACGTCCTTGGCGCTAAACATAAGAACCAGTAAGTACTTGTTTTTTTAAGGTGAAATGCCTTTATCAGCCCGTTAGTCAGCTTGAATTGCCTTTTCCTTACTTAAGGATGTCTCTGAATATTATGAATGTCTCTTTAATTTCTGGACAGGTTCCCAGTGAGTTTAAACAAGCAGCAATACAGCCGGTCCTTAAGGAAATTGGCCTTGATACCTATATCCTATGACACTTTAGACCAATTTTAATACTGTCATTTTTGTCAAAGATACTGGAAATAGTCGTTCTTATGCAGCTACAACCATTTTCGGTTGAGAACTCTGGACATAGTATGGCATTGGCACTGCTAAAGGTTTCTAATGATACGTTGCTTTCCGTTAATAATGGAAACTGTCATTTTAATCCTTTTGGATCTTTCTGCAGCTTTTGACACCTTTACCCTGATGTACTGCTCGCATTAGCGGGATTTTTATTTTATTTAGTCTTCAAATTTTTTTTTTGCCCTAATTAATCAGTAGTGTGGAAAACCAAACTTTAAACAAGTGTTTAGTGTGAATGTGCCGCATCTGTTTCCAGCAAGAACTTGTCCTCTGTAAAATTTTCTGGGTCCTCTCATCATCTCCAGAAAAACAAATGTCTCCAAATAATCTTCAAATGTATTTTTCTTTTTTATAGAATGAAGAAATCAGGTCTGAAGATTGAACAGAAGCCAGACACAGCAGAACAATCACACGGGGACAAGAACCCCAGCGGAGGTGACACGCACAATGCCAAAAATGACCAGTATGTTGTCACAGAGGACCACTATGGCACCGGGAATGACCAGTCCTGCACTAAGGATAACCAGCATGCAGCTGGGGATGACCAGTATGCAGCTGCAAGTAACCAGTACACTCCTGAATACAAGGTGTACTCAGAGGAGTACCGCTATACTTGAGGCTAGACTGGGAGGGACTGAGGAGGTTTCAGTCAGGACTTGGAATGACACACAACAACCAGCCCCTTTAACACATTAACAATCCATCAACCTCCACGGTCCACCAGTTTTTTCTGGTCACTCCTCACTAGGATTTTACCCCCTGGAACACTCATGTAATCCCCAGGTTTGGACCGTGGAATAATCCAATGTGGCCATTTATCATTGGTTTTGTTTGTTGTCTTTTTTTATTTACTTTTCTCCTTTGACCAAAAATCTGCAGATATGTGGTAAAACTCTTCAAAATGTGATGTTGCACAATCCCATGATAAAAAATGTCTGTGAGGGTTCAGCTGACCTCTACTTCTGTGAAAACCGCTTTCATACCCATGTACACTGGGTCTAGGTATTGTGTGAAGGTTGTCGGGACTGGGGCAGATATATTTTTTTTCCCAGTACATTAACCCTGTAAAGCCTGACACATCAAAAAATAGCCAGAACATTCAAATGTTTTGGAACTGAGATGTTTATTAAACCTTTTAATAAAATCCAAAAGAAAAATCAAGATTCAAGATTTTTATTTGCCATTTATGCATAGGCAGACATAGGCATACAGGAATATTTTCCCTATATGTTTTTTTATTTTTATTTTTTATTTTTTTTGTATCATACTTGATACATGGGGCATTTTTGGTGATTTTTTTTTTTTTTGCTCAGAAACTCGCGTAGCAAATATGATGCAAATGGTTTTATAGGGTTAATCATGATCCAACCCCCAGACTCAGTATACATACTTAGGATAATAACAGGCACAGATTGTGTTTACATAAGGTATAAATAAACATTTGTTTAGTATTTTAACTGTAGGTAGATCATTTTGACTTGGTCGTTTGAAAAGTAGCTCGCAAGGCGCAGAAGTGTGGGCACCCCTGCATCATAGGAATGAGTGTATCCAAATAAAACAAAAAACACTTTGTTCCAGATTAAAAAGGCTTCATAAGATGGAGATTTGTTTTCACAGTATAACTCATTTTGAAAGCTGCATGTTTTTGTATGATAATTATTCTGCTAAGTAGTTACTTTTGCACATTCAGAAGTGAAAATGGTTCCATGTCACACACCTGTGAGAACCTAAATATTTCATCCTGTGCTTCTTTATAAAGTAGCAGATTTCTTTCAAACGCCAAGTTATTGATCATTGTCTGCAGTAAGTTGTAGAGGTTCATGTCATTTTATTTCCAGGATTCAGGACAGTTTTACCAAGAGGTGTGAGTGGTAATGATGAAAATCCATGCTAATGCAGTGGCTCTGTAACAGCTTTGGGTTAATGACAGTATAAGCTTTATTTTGTACTATTGAGTTATATTCTTGGGTGAAAGAGTTTTATATACCTTCCCCTTGAGCCGAGGGATGCTCTGTAGCTGACAGTAGCAGAAATGACAATATTTACCAGAGATTTTCCACAGTAATGTCAATATTAGAATAACACACACACTTTTAGTTCACTTGTTCTCATCTAACACAGTAGGTTGAATAGTTCAGCTTTGAATGACTTCAACTTTGTGGTGAAAGAATGTGTTGGATTGCAATCTATACTGAGGGCTTTTGTATAGTACCTGGTGTATAAAGGACAAATGGCCTTTGACTTCTCATCATCATTGTTTGTGTTAGGTGTTCTGTTATTACTTTGTGTGTATGTTATATATACTGGAAAGAAAAAAATGCCATGAAGTAAAGAAATGCTTTAAGAGTTCTTGTTTGGTTTTCTTTAGCACAAGGTGTTCAGGGGACTCCAGCTTGCTGCTTTGAGTGTCAGGCACAAAGAGATCTTGTTCCCTCTTTACTTTGCTCTTGGCCCTGTAATGGAAGCCAGTGAGCACAATTTGGCATAAATAAAAGTTGTGTGCACTGACATGGTTGTGAGCAGAGGTATGTTAGTGTGTATGTGGAGCAACAAAATAAAAGACAAACTCATGGATCACTAAATTTCTTATTGTGTAATACTGTTTTATAATGTCACATATTATAAATGCTGAAGATTCATTGTATCCAGATGTTTCTGCTTTCTTTGTCCGTAGAGTCCACAGAGGAAAACAAACACACTGGATTAATGATTCAACTGAAGCTGTTTGTGTGCTCCACACACACCTGAGTTAAGAACACTAATGTGTGTGTTTTTTTTTTTTTTCCACAAAATCTGTTCCACAGATTTTTTTAACTGTGGTGTCTTATTCCATTTCCCGTGGTGTGTAGTCTATATGCTCAAAGGATCAGAAGAAAAATTAGTCCCATGAAATTGTTGAAGCTTTAATGACATCTAATCTTTGCATCATCTGTCTCCTGCAGAAAAGGGTTTTTGATTCATATCTCAGATTGAAAAAAAACACCACAAAGCCTGAATTAGCTTTACTTAATCACACAGAACAAAACAATCAGGAGGGAGGGTTATAAACATTCACATGCCTGTTGTAACTGAAGACATTTGAAGCAGTAAAGTTATGATTTAAAAACTGATGTGTGCGGAGTATGTTAGGTATGAGCACACATTACACTTTTTGTCCTCACAAACAGATCATTTTCTTTTTGTTACATTACCTGATTTCCTCTGAGAGATAATAAAATTTTCATTTAATTAATCCTTTTTAGCTTTATACATTCTGTTACATCAAACCTGCACAATCATGTTTCACATCCATCCATTTTCTAAACCGCATAGTCCCAAACGGGGTCACGGGGGGCTGGAGCCAATCCCAGCCAGGC